ACAAAGAATATCGTCAAATACAGGTGTGTTGCACATCCATTGAGATGAACTGAAAAATAGCACATATCTCTTGACGGAGAGTAAAAACTCTGAAGCGCTCAGTCAGAGAGTGTTCGGCGAGTAAAGATATACTTATACTTAGCCTCCAACTCACACACTGGCGAGTAAAATCTAAGAATTTATTAGCCATTGGCTAATATTAGACATAATTTAGTCGCATATGCTAGTGATTTACTCGCAATGTAGAGGGGTTGCCCTGTCAGATCAAACAGCACATTAATGAATGTAAATTAGGGCTGTGCGATTAATCGAAATCGTCATAAAATCGCGATTTGAGCTTGCGCGATTTCTAAATCGCTTTACAGCACGATTTTCCGTGCCCCCGACCTCCTCGCAGTATGCCATCCGAACCAATCAGAATGCAGCGCGCCTAAATGGAGCACGAGAACAGAACAGACCGGGCGGGCATACAAACGTAACGCCAGGTTCACACACTCAGTCTGTGGTGCGTATTTTATTTTTTCCGCGCCCATGTTAACGGATCAGAGCGTTCACACTGCACGCGATTGCGGTCCGACAGTGCGCTCCAGGAGCGGTGCGTCTGCAGCAGTCATACTGCGATCGTTTCCGCACGGAATCTATTTCTACTGTGCTGCGCGCGCTGAATTAAAGTGACAGCACATTATTCGTGGTAAAAATTATCATGGATTGACATGGAAATTTTGTAATTGCACCATAAATGCATATAATTAAAGTCTACTGTTTCACAGTCAACACATGGCTTTTTGGCTGGATTTAAAACAAGGAAAAGTGCACTTTTAGATAAACAAGGCAATAATAGATGGCACTCATGGTGGTAGTTCCTGTGCGAAAGCAAAATGAGTCCATGCTGCTTCTGCACTGCATACTCTTACTGTATACGCACTGCAGATGGAGTATGTGTGAACATGGCGCAACAAATCTAGTTCAACATCTGAAGCAACGCCACAAAGAGCTCTATGACCAATGCATGGCAAAATTGTATTATTTTTTTCTGCATAAATGTCTATTCTAGAGACATTTTGTTACACCTTTACTTAGTGATTATTTTGCCTTATGTCTGTTCTAGAGACATGTTACAGCTTTTTGATAAAGCTCTAATTGGTTTTCTTTTGGAAATATGTTTCAAATTCACACTGAATGCATTAATGACTGTAAAGCATGTCTGTGTGTGTCAAAATTGTGATTAAAATCGAAATCGCAAAATTGATCAAAGAAATTGCGATAGGTTGTTTTTGTCCATATCGCACAGCCCTAATGTAAATGAATCCTTTAAAAGCACAGACCGAACTGGCACATTAACATATTCATCACGTCAGAAGGCTGTAAATCATAAAGCATTGTTTGCAAATATTCTACACCAACTTACTGATAAGGAATACATGCATAAATTCACATTTCCTAAGTTCACATTTTTGTTCCTAGATGCTTTAGACTGATAATAGTGTGTAGATTTTGCCTGATTCCTCATTTGAATGCAATTTTTTAAAAAAATCCACTTTGTATAATACTTTCTTCTCTTTTTCTCCTTTTCACAGCTCAAAACTGCAGTCACACACTACACAGTCCAAATGGGACAATAGAAAGCCCCGGATACCCTTATGGATATCCCAACTACGCCAACTGCACATGGGTGATTGTGGCACAGGAACACAACCGGATACAGTTGGTATTTCAAGGCTTTGCTTTAGAGGAGGACTTTGACATCCTTTCAGTCTACGATGGGCAACCTAGTCCAACAAACTTACGGACACGGTAAATACAGAACATTTTATCATATTGTGTGTGTAAATGCCAGATCCAATCTCTTGGAATTGCTAGCTGACATTACTTTGCTAACAGTTTGAACTGTGTGAACTCTGTGCGTGAACTTTGGATTTACTTAAGTGTCCCCAAACTTGTTTAAAGTGCACTGAAAGGAATGAAAAGTTCATTTTAGGAATGTGTCTAATGTTTTGAACATTGAAGTCCACATTGATTTAGCACTTTTGACTTTATCGCTGTCTTGAGTCTGAATTTATGCTTTGTATACTATGAAAATAAGAAGAAAATAATAGGATTGAGGCTCAAGGGATTGAGCAGAGCAGATATCCTCGGGAGTGTCCTTGGGGCCTTGGCCTGTTTTCCATTCGAAAGCTAGCATTTTGAAAAGTTTGCCTGCATTAATAGATCCCTTCTCAGATAGAGGATCTATGAATGAAGTGGAATGAAACGAGTTCTATAGAAAACAGTGTGGAACTCTGTAAATGTGTTGCTTTTTCCCACCCTTTTTTGTCACCTTTCTTTATTTATTAATATCTGTGTGGGAAACGATGTGGACAAGGACACTTTCAATTTTTTTATGCTTCAAGATTCAAGGACAGCTTTCTGCACAGCCCCACGTTTCCATGGTGTTCTATGAATGTTAACCTTGTTCAGCATGGGCGGTTTACCCTGCAAGTGTATTATTAGTGTCAGCTGAACTCCATGTCTTAAAGAAATCAAAAGGATATTGCGACTATTCCAATAGGATGTTGTTTTATGATATTGATATTACGTGAGGAAGTCAGTGTTGCTGTACTAGTCGTAACGTCACACAAGAAGTCAGAGTTTGAGCAGGGGTCTGCTTCTAAAAATCTGTTATGCATTGGAATGTTTTTAATGTTAGTGAAAATTATTATAAAGTGATACACTTCCATTCAAAAGTAGGATTTTTTTTTAAAGAAATTAATGCTTTATTCAGCAAGGATGCATTAAGTTGATCAAAAGTGACATTTAAGACTAACAATGTTAAAACTGATTTATATTACAAATAAATAATATGTATATCTATTACAAATAAACAAATGTTGTTCTGAACTTTCTGTTTATCAAATAATCTTGAAAAAAAGTGTTTTTTTCCCACAAAAATGTTAAGCAGCAAATTTTTTCAACAATGCTTCTTGCACACCAAATCAGCATATTTAATTGATTTCTGAAGGATCATCATTTACGGTACTTTTGATCAAATACGCATCCTTTTAAATGGTAGTGTAACAGATTGTAAAGTCATATTTGGCAGAATGTTTGCAACATTGGTTGCGCTTTGAAAATTAAAAACTGACATTTGCAGTTGAGCTTTGAAGAAGCCAAGCTAACCATTTAACGTGGTAACATAATGTCACATTAGATAACGCTTATTACTACTGTGAAGACAGCAGACATGGGCATTAACGTTAAAGAGGTTTATTGTGCTGTGCAATGGGATTCATTTCTTGGCCTGAGATCATTCAATATCACTCGCATAGTCTGCTGCAAATGAAACATAACATTCCTCCCATGTGCTAACTGAGTTAATGACACTTTTTTTCATTCCCTCTGCCTTAAACGAGATCCCATTGACCGACCCTGCCGTTCCATTATCTTTTTAATTTTTTTTTTGTTCACTGTGAAATCGGTCCAGTGAGTCATTGCCACATATTACCATCACTCTAATATCTTCAATCTCTGGTTTGATAGGGTTTACCCAAACACATTTATGATTGAACTCATCCACAAGTCTTCACTCTTATCACACAATACCATATTATCCCTCCTAATTTCTGTTGAATCAGTTCTCAGCTAAAATGTAATCACCCTTGAGATTATTTGGTTTGAGAGCTGATTTAAATAAGTGCTGTTTTATCCACCCAATTATTAATTTGCATCTGAAGCTGTTTGCTTGTTGTTGTGGGTGGATTTGAATGTGTTGTGTGAAGAATACGACTGTACAAAAGACTTCGGAGTCAGCTTGTGATATTTGCCATGTAGTGTCTCCATTGTTCTACTTTGAATCTTAGTCAGGACTGTCAGCTGATCCTATTTGTTCTTCAACAGGTGCGTGCTATCATAAAACATAAAAACATGTTTATGCTTGCAATTAACTGCTCACACGTTTTCCAGTCTCCCACATAAAGAATTTGCTTCTTGATTTTTTTTTTTTGTACTGTGGTACTGTACCAGAGATGTTTTAGTAATATTATTTGTATACTATAGTATTTATTAATATTTTCTACTAGATTATTAACATTTTAATTTTAATTATATTAATTATACTTTTTTAATATACATTATCTACTTAGCTTTATTTTTATTTGAAGTTTTAGTTTTTGTAATTTTTGTAATTAAACTCATTTAATTTAGTTAATTTTTGAGTTTTTCTTCTAACATTTATTATATTGTTCGAGTTTCAATTAACCAAAGGGATATTTAGCAGTTAGCTAACAAAAACAACACTGCACTGCATTTTTTAACACCAATAATGGCCAGGAATAACATGTTAACACACAAAACCATTTAAGGGTAATGCAATATCTGATATTAGATATTATCTCTGGAAATGCATTAACCAGTCAGCTGACATCCTTGACATGTAGGTAAAGATTTCAGGAACTGTCACCCTAATTGGTGCTGTGCAACTGCTGCTGTTGTGAAGGCATCTGGGGGGCATTTTTGTATATTATACTGTCATGGGGGTGATGGGTATATAATGTATGGATATGTTGTTTAGACATCGGATTGAGGACACACCAGTTTCCATGTTGGTGTTTCCTCGCAAGTATTTGCCTTTCATATAATTGGAGCTCCTACAACAGCGGTGATCTACTTTTCCTGCAGAAATTATTTCCAACACACCTGCTTGCAATTTTTGAATGAGTGGAAAGACCGTTATTAACTGGTTGAGGTGTTTGTTAGAAGTGAAAGTGAACTCTGCAGGAAGCCGGATCTCCAGGAGCAAGATTGAGGTAAAACATTTACACTCCATATGAGACAGAAACTGAGCTTTGGCTTAGTCCCATCAGCTTACACAGGTTTTCCAAATCCAACTACAGCGATCTCCTGCGTGAAGCTTAAGGACTGCCTCTTTTAAAGGGATAGGTCATCCCAAAATTAAAATGTACTAATAATTTACTCACCCTCATATCATTCCAAACCTCTTTCTTTATTATGTGGAACATTAAAATTTGATATGGCTTCAGTGTTTGGTAATTGTTTTTTATGTATATTTTTTGTATGTATATATGTATAATATCTAACCTGAAATGACATTGAGCAAGGATATATAAAATAATGTAGGTAAGTGGTATGCTTTTGAAGTTGCTCTGCTATGCTCCTTAATGAAGGTTATATTATGATGCGTTTGTTCCCTGATTTAACAGGGTGTTTTCAGGGGAGTCATGCAATAATTAATTATTCATAGTGTGGTAGAACATTGTGTGCTCTGTTTGGTTAAGTTTAAAGTTCAGCTGCATTGTTTGCTGTCAGTCCAGTCTAAGAAGTGAATGCATATTAGTCTCTGCAGTTCTTCATGGGAAGGCGCAGAATGTAAAGAATGCTATGAAGTCAAAAGTTCAAATTTATGTGTGTCAGCATAAACTGCAAGTTTAGAAGTACCCAGTCACACTTCAATAACTACGCTGTAAAACCTGATAAGTTCAGAATACTCCATTTTTGTGGACACCGATTACCTCAAAAAATGTAAGTTCACATTAATTATAAATAACAATTAAGTCAACCTAAAAAGCTTACATTTGTTTTTGCGTAATGTTTAAGTGCAGTGTACTTAAAATTATTGTTTATCATACATAATGTTTTTCATTTACCAATTATTTTAATGCAGTAGTGCTTTATTAAATATAAATACTGACACTGTGGCTATACAATTGAGGATTTTTTATTCAGCCTTTTTTAAACCGCATGAACTGTGTATTTCTGAATGTCAAACACTGGAAGATCATCTCATCACAACTGCAGTGCTTGCAGGACTTGTAGTGGTTTCGTTGTCCATGATAACAAAATCAGCTGGAGAGGTGTTTGTGTCAGTGATGTCTGGCTTGCCCAATTCCTCCTGGAATAAGCACAGAGGGTAAAACTTTAACTTTTTATCTCCAGAGACTAAAAGGAGACATTTATATTTACTGCCAATAGAGTGGGGGAACTATAACGTCAGAACCTAGAGGAGTAATTCGCCGTGGGTTCCTTCTAGATTTTCCTATGGGGTTTTTCAATTAAAATAAAGCCTGTGGTAAACATAAGTTGACGATACTTTTATGTTTTGTTGTACAATGTAAATTACACGCATCCATACCCAAAATAAATATTTTGAAGCAGTTATGTTCATTTTTGAAATGTATGTTTTTAGTAAATAGCTAGGTAAGAAGGTTTAGGCTGTGAGTGTGTGCAGTTTATATTGTAGAACCAAATGTAGAAGTATCGTCAAGTTCTGTTTACCACAGGCTTTATTTTATTCATAAATTGAAAAACCCTATAGGAAAATCTCAAAAGAACCCGCGGCGAATTACACTTCCTGGTTCTGACGTCATAGTTCCCCCACTCTATTTCAGATCTATTAATGCACTTAATACTTACATTTCATGTCCTGAAGAATAGTTCTCCTCACACACGTACACTGGGTGTTGACATCATGTAAAAAAAAAAAAACATGTTAAACAAGCAGGCCAACTTTATTTTATATACAATGAAGACCGTGATGGAGGTAGTTAATGTTCACCTGAAGATCAAACATTTCGAATGTCATGCAACATCTGTGAAATATTGCTGGTGTGTGCCACTTTCTCTGATATGGTGAAACTCAGCACAAACCTA